TATTCTATTCTATTCTATTCTATTCTATTCTATTCTATTCTATTCTATTCTATAGCAGAGGGATTACAGGTCCTGACATTTCCAGCCAGAATGATAAATATTGCAAATAGTTCCAACCTTGGAGAGCCTCATGTTCTTGTATTGTTATGTTCTTTCTAGCCCATCAAGAAACCTTGAAGACGGCCAAAAATGTCAACTAAGACACTTAATTGCCAATAAAAGTCATTAACAAAGGATTTGGGGATGTTTACCTGATGGGGGACAGGTAGCATGCTGGCTGGGGAGTTTTGGAAGTTGGTCCATACAGTTTAAAGTTGCTAAATTTGACAAATGCTATTCTAAAACATTACCATATTCGGCTGATGCATCCCGGGCTTCCTTTCAGACCCAAAAGGAGAGAGAAAAGTAACAGCCAGACAAACTGGTGAGATTGAAGTCTTCTGCCCAGCTTCAATCAATCAGAACAGAGCTGGATGGGACCTTGGAGGTCTTCTAGTCCAGCCCCCTGCTCAAGCAGGACACCCTACAGTGTCAAACAAGTGGCTGTGCAGTCTTTTCTTAAAAGCTTCCAGTGATGAAGCACCCACAACAACTGAAGGCAAACTGTTCCACTGGTTAATTGTCCTCGGTGTCAGAAAGTTTCTCCTTAATTCCAAGTTGCTTCTCTCCTTCATTAATTTCCATCCATTGCTTCTTGTCCTGCCTTCTGGTGCTTTGGAGAATAGTTTGACTGCCTCTTCTTTGTGGCAGCCTCTCAAATACTGGAAGACTGCTCTCCTGTCCCCGCTAGTCCTTCTTTTCTCTAGACTAGCCATACCTAATTCCCGTAACCGTTCTTTGTACGTTTTTGTCTCCAGGCCTTTAATCATCTTAGTTTCTCCTCTTTGCACTTTTCCCAAAGTCTCAACCATTTTCTTTGTAAGCTAAAAGGAGCGAAGTGGCCGAATGAATTAAGAATTAATTAATTTCCTGCATTGGAAGAGCTCTTCCCACAACCACAGGGACAAATATTACTGTTTGGGATATTCCCAGAAATCCCCATCCAGATTAAATTCTGAGAGTTGTAGTTCACACGCCTTAATGTTACAGAGGTGAGGAAACACTGTTTTATAATAAATAAGTGGCTCAAATCAAGGCACCCACCCCATTGCTGCTCCCTCTGTTCCCTAAGCCATCCAGATCTGACAGTTAAAGCAAACCCCTAGAAAGTTGTGTCTGGTTTTGGGGGAAGCCAGTGGATAATAAATGCAGGAAATAGACAGAAACACAGACCGACATTCAACAGACCATGTTCTGTCGTGACTTTCCTGTTATGGGTGGCACAGCTCTTGAATTTAGGTCTGGAAAATTTACCAGGGAAAAGAAAAAGAAAAGGTGGCAATGCCATCTTGTGGTAAAACAGGAAAATAAAGAACAGGGATGATTAAGCTTGCAGTAAACTTTTAGCTATACAATTTGGAATCAACACCCTTGGAATGGTGTGGGAGGAGGAAAAATTGCAGACTACAGGAACCATTTGCATCACGCAGGTGGCCCCGAGGACACAAATAGACCTCCAAGCGGCCTCAGTGACCCTCTAAAAGGATGCAAATGACCAGCTGTCTGCAAGGAGCATAAATCCTTCCATTCCCCACCATCCAGTCAGAGCTGAAGAAACTTCTTGGATAAGAAGCGAAACGTCTTCAAAAGAAAAAAGAAGAAAGACCAAAATAATCACCTTTAGGTAAGGGTGACCTGGATGATGGAGAATCTCTACAGATTTCCAGTCTGATACGCTGAGGAGAAAAAAGGCTGCTTTGATTTTAGGGATAGGTTTGGGAACAGGTTTAAGTTTCATCGGACGTTTCAGATTTCATCTTCATTTGCAGCACCCAGTTTCATTTAATGACCGTCCAAAGATGGGAAGATTAAGTAGAGACTTGACTGGATATTTGATACAGATTAAGCGAGACCTGGCTCAAAAACAGTAACTGTGAGAGCGACCTTGGAGTCCTAGTGGATGATCACTTCAATATGAGCCAGCCGTGTGAGGCAGCAGGTGAAAAAGCGAATACAACCCTTGATTGTATAAACGGAGGCATAGAATCAAAGTCAGAGGAAGTAATTACTACTGTCAGATCAGTGTTCCTGCCATTCTTCTATGGAAGAAGAAGGGAGGGGGAAGTTGGTACAAGTAATCCTTTTGACGTAACCTGAATATATCGAATCTTATATTGAATCTGTATATAACCTACACATGATGTACAACTGGAGGACTGGAGCCAGATGGCTAGAAACTTGTCACCTCTTGGAGTGATAGCAAGTGGAGAAGGGACCATAAAAATTCCAGCTCTGGAAGATACTCCCTGGGGAGTCTTCAAAAGATACGTTCCCAGAGGAGGGGGGAATTAACATATTGGTTCTTTGTTTGACTAAATACACATCTAAACAAGGGGAGGGGTCCTAACTCCCCTTATCTATTACTGCATGCCTGGGAGCATTTAGACTCTGCTTTGACTAGTGCTAGAATCACTCCCTTCCAATAAAGAATTCCTTTTGAAATGCTTATTTTCAGAAGTTCATTCTTTTCAGTTGAAGGGAAAAAGACCAGTGCTTACAATTACTTCTTTATAAAGCCTTCGTAAGGCCACACCTGGAATACCGCATCCAGTTTTGGTCACCTCATTACAAAAAAATATGTTGAGACTTAAAAAGTGCAGAGAAGAACAACTCAGGTGATTAAAGGCCTGGAGACTTAAACATATGGCAAATGGTTGCAAGAAGTGAATATGGCCAGTCTAGAAAAAACTAGGATTAGGGGTGACATAATAGCAATATTTCAGTATTTGAGGGGCTGACACAAAGGAGAGGGGGTCAAATTATTCTCCAAAGCATCAGAAGGCAGGACAAGAAACAATGGATGGAAACTCATCAAGGAGAGAAGGAACCTGGAATTGAGGAGAAACTTCCTAACAGTGAGGACAATTTACCAGTGGAACTGCTTGCCACCAGAAGTTGTGACTGTTCCATCACTGGGAGTTTTTAAAAAGAGACTGGACAGCCACTTGTCTGAAATAGTATAGGTTTTCCTGCTTGTGCAGGGGGCTGGACTAGAAGACCTCCAAGGTCCCTTCCAGCTCTATTCTGATTCTCTCTGTGGGTTGAGCTTAGTGTCTGAAAACCTCACCACCCAACCCAACCCAACCCAACTTAATTCAACAGAAGTGAAGCCAAGTCAACCCAACTTAATTCAAGCCAAGCTAACTTAAGCCAAACTAAGCCTAACATAGCTACTATCCTTTGGAGTCACCATCTGTTACCAAATCACCTTTCCATTCCATTCGATTCTCACCAGCATAAACTGGACAGTCCCTCTCCCGGTTCACCATAAACCGAACTAGCTTCGTGAACTGCATGTTTGTCATTCTACCAAAAGAGACCTCAAGATCAATACCAGCAGCACAGGAAACAGATCTTTCTTACCTGTCTCCAAGTTCCTGGGCGATGGCCAGGTGCTTTAGGTGGTACTCCACAGCCTTGTCATAGTCTTCAAGAAGGGTATAGGTGTTTCCAAGACTGTAGCATGTCTGGGCTTCCACCGTTTGGTCCTTCAGCTGCCTGGAGAGGTGGAGGGTTTTCCTAAATTAAGAGAGAAGAGAGGGAAGACTTCTTCAACTGAACGCTGAAGCCACCTCATGTTCTGCCCAGATCACCTTCCCCAAGCTGGGGTACTCCAGGTATGTTGAAAGGTGAGAATTCTGGTATGTCCGGAGGCCCCCAAGTTATGAAAATCCACAGATCTCATTGGGTCAAAACCACTATAATAGATCAGACTCACTGGATTCCATTCTGTTTAGGTGGAAATGGAACAATTAAATGATCATATTGTTGGAGATGCCTTAAGAATCAAAAGACATGTTTCTCTGGTAGATTAAGCTGTCACATTCTGAAAGGAGAAGGGAACAGCTGAGGAACAAGGACTGACTTGGAAGTAAAGCCACAGGTGGGCGGTGAATGGCCACTCCCCAGAGTATTAAAGAGGAGCGAAAGGGGAATGGGGCTTTGCAGGAGACAATTCGTTCATTTCGGAATGCTTGCCAAGTTTTGTGGCGTCTGAAAGATATCAACCTGGCCACTCTCCAAGCCTGATAAAGGCCTGTAATTGAGAACAATTTTGAAGACTGTTGGCAAGGACTTGGTTGGAGTGGAAATTCATTGTAGATTAAATAAAAGGGGTTTATCGGGACGAGGACTCAACTTCATGCTGTTGGGAAAACCTAGGCCACAACACCAAGCTCAGAAAGCAACCAAGGACTTCACCGTTCAACCTCGATCTGCGAATATTCTCTTCTATTGGAGTCTCCCGTGTTTTCGTCTACATTCAGGACAGTAGTTATAACTAGGATGTAGGATCCCTTTGCTGATCTACTGCCGTGAATCCAAACAGATCGGATCTGGAGGGTAGTGGTTCCCGTGAGACACCCACTGCTTACTTGTAATACTCTGCGGCAATATCGAAGCTCCCCAGGAAGATGTGAGCATTGGCCAAGTTGCTGTACGCTCTCCTCTCGGCAGCCCTGTCTCCAAATTCCTTAGCGATGTTCAGCCGCTGAAAATGGATAATGTCATGGGTGTCACTGCAGCAATATATCACCTCAATTTTTTTAAAATTTTTAAAATACTTTATTGAATACAAAAGGTTACAATATACAAATATACAAAAGTAAAAAATAAAAAGTCATACACATAAACATCACAACACATTCCGTAGTAAGACTAATCATATTTTCCTCTAATACATTTTGATAGTGATTTAAATATCTCCTAGAAAGTATTAAATGGCAGTTATTTCCTATCCCTTGTAGAATAGCTGTATTAATAATATATACCTAATAATCTATTATTACTATTGGATTATAACTATGTATTTTATAGAGAAGTCATTTATATAGCTTAGTCAAAGAGAGAGAGGAATTAAACTAGTATTCTATAAATTCCTATCCAAGTTTAGCATATATATGATAGTATGTTTCATAGGTTAATTATTTCCTATTATTTCCTTATTTCATGCATTCTTTTTTTTTTACAATCTATCCAATCATATCATTTATCCCAAATCAAATAGTATTCTGAGTCATCCTTTTCTTTTAATTTTAATGTAAGCCTCTCTATTTTGGCGCATTCATAAATTTTTTGAATAATAAAGTACTGTATATGGGCGGTAAGTTGGGCAACTTATCGGGATATGTCACCTCTATTAGGGCACCATCATTCTCGTCTTCCCCAGCTGACGTACATGTTGACCCTGAAGTGAGCCTGGCTGAGGCCATCTTGGAAGCTTCAGAGTTGTCACACAACAGAGGAAGGGGGGGAAATAGCTAGATTGGGATTTTGTAGCCAAAACAATACCGTTTTCCTGTGGGAACCAAGGACGTTCTAACAAGTTGGCTGGCCAGAGGAGGAGCAAGTAACCAAGCAACCAGCCAGCACCTTGATTGGACAGCGTCACCAGTGACTTGGGGAAAAGGGAGAACCTTTACTTTTTAATTAGGTGAAAGCTGTGACAATTTTCAGAGTCGGCTTCCCTCAGTTATGCCAATATGATGTGTCCAATAAGTGGTTCTTCGAGGAACTTGCCTGCTTTGGAATTCTGCTTTCTCGGATTTGGGTTTGTGACAGTATAGCTACCCTAATAAAAGGAAACTTTTGAGAAAATGCCTGTCTCACAGTCATCAGTAGAATTAGTCCCAATTAATTATTGGCAATTATTGGCAAATTATTTGTCAAGGTTCAGACTGTTCTGCCCCAACCCTGTTACCAGTGAGAAAATCTCAAACAAACGCACCAACTCAAACCTTCACAGCTTTAATCTACAAATAAACTTCTTTGTAGATAAAAGATGGCTTGAAGACAATTAGTCCAACCAGAAAAGCCTTGACAGAATTCTTTAGATAATCCGGAGTCTCCACACACAATGCTGGATCCTTAGAGCCTTCTGCAAGGGCAAAAACCTTTTAAAACCAGGCTTATATTCCCTGGAGGGAGGGGCCTCCTTACTCCCGAGTCGCCTGTGATGCTCCAGCTGTTCTCTTCTACAAATCATCCTGCGCTCATGCGTACTTGGCACAGGCTCCTCGGGAACCTCCTCATCGCTGCTGCCAGCCTCCCCAATCCCTGAAGGCAGCAGTCCACTCCCTGATGGTCCTGGCCGCTCATCAGTCATCGCTCTCCTGAGCCATCTGCACCTGCTGCCGGCTAACCACAACACCGATTGATGAACCCAACCAAGCAAGCACTGTCGAGAGGATCCAATCTCTTAATGCAAAACTTTATTGAGTACATCATTTCAGCACAGATGAAAAGCAAAACCAACTCTGGCTAATTCCCACGCAAACCCATATAGTTAAAAGAATAGACTTCCCCCTCCCAAGTCACACTGTCCAATGGAGGGTCAGTATATTGTTATGGGAAAATGTCTTTAAGCTTCGGCAAACACCTGCAGAAGTGTCCTTGGTTCCCATGGGTTGTCTTGGGTGATGTCTGGAGCTTGCATTCCAATTCCCCTTCCCTCCCCTCTAGCTCATTGGCAAGCGCACTTCGAACTTGACAACATTGTTGTAATAAATCCTTTAAGTGTAACCCCCAACATATATTTGTAAGGATCTGCATGGCCCCGATTCCCACTCCCCCACCACACACCAAATGCTGTAGATCTCTACAATGGGTCAGAAAGGACCCCACCCCGTGTTTCACCTGCTTGTGGAAGACGATAGCTTTGCTGAAGTTGCCCATCAGGTAATGCGCATTGCCCAGGTTCCCGTAAGCCCTGCCTTGTGCAGCTCTGTCAGCCAACTCCTTCACGAGGGAAAGGTTCCTCCTACGGGCAAGCCAGAAAAAAAAAGAAGAAGCCCTTAATGTTTGAGAAAAGGACCAGAAAGCCATTTCAAATAAGTAATCTGTGCATTCCTGAAAAGCATCATTGCCACCCTTCCATTTCCTCACTTATCATTTCTCTCTTTTCTTGTTAACAACTCAGGCTTTGGTCTGGAGTTCAGTTTCATGTCTTGCCCTCCAGAGGCACATTTAGGATGTTTTAAAGTGCCGTGAGATTTCCTTGTGGTCTCCTCTCCCCGCTCTATTTTTTTATGTTTTATTTTCCCCACCCTTTTTTTTTAAAAAAAATTGGAATTAGAAAAAAAAAATCCAGTCACTGTGTGACCTACACAGTTTGCAAATTTCCTGTAGAGTTGTAATTGCAGGAATGTTCCAATCTCGGATGGCAAACCTCAGAAAAAGAATGTTTCCAAGCAAATACAACTCAGGTAAACAAAGTCACTAATCTAAAGGAGGATTAGAGAGAGGAAGTAAACATATGTGAGACTTTAACTAGAGATAATTAATTGTATGGATTACTGTGCTAAACAGTAACGAAAGTTAAGCAGTAACCAAAGTTAACTAGTGATGGAGGATAATTAAAAATGTGTATAAATGCAAGACTAGACTCCAGTAAAGATGATCATGATTCAGTTGTTCAGGATCAAACAACTCGACTGCCTCGTCATTACAACAATTTCCTTTGTCAAACATAAGTTCCTTTTTTCCTCCTTCTCACGCCCCGCCCCACTGTTTCCCCCCCACACCCCCTGTTAAGGCCAATAGTGTCTTCTGATTTTTGTCATATTTTTATTTCTTCCCAAAACTTTGCCTTCTTCAGAAGGAAAAGAAAAAAAGAAGAAGAACAGGAAAAACCGGGTTATATCACTCCTCCGGGTTGTTGTCGTTTTTTCCTTTTCCTTTTTTTTTTTCATTTGTTAAGTTGTGCCCCGTCACACAGACAGGGCAACCTGGATTGTTAGTGGCGGGAGAAGAGATGGACCTTCGCCTTTCTTGCTTACACTTTCTTGCTTTACACTTCTCTCCCTGCTTTTTAAAAGGAGCAACGCAGGTAAACAATCCACTGAACGACATCGTTGCACTAATAATGGAGGTGGAAGTCTTGGGAGGGTAGAAAGGCGATGTGTGTGGTGGTGGGGATTCATTCTCCCAACTTCTCATAGTGAGGCAAAAGTAGAGAAGGAAGTTCTGAATTGGCTGGGAAGAAGAGGCAGACCTGCCAAAAGAGTTCTGACCAACTTCTTGGTGCCCAAGAATATTAGGGAGAAATACCAGCCTCAGCTTGGCTTGGCTCTCTTTGCAACCCAAGATAACTCCTGGAAAGATTGTGAGTGTACCCTGAATATCGTGGGGCCTTCATGGGACCCCCGTTCCTCTCCATCTGGAGAAGACCATTCACTTACTTGTAAAATTCACATGCCTTTTGCAGAGCCTCTTGAATCTCCTGGGGCAGCTGGCCTGGTTCCTCCTGGGGCAGGGTCCACAACGCCTCCTTGCCTTTGGCATGGTAGACGTTGCCGATGTTATACAGTGCTCGGGCCTCTCCCACCTACCAGAAAGAAGAAAGAAAAGAGCTCCTGGGGTCCCTCCAATGAATGCCACACTCAGAGTCTTATTGGTGCAGATACTAGTGTCAGACCTGCCCCAGTCCGATCCCTCAGGAAAGAAAGACCCTCGACTCCATTTGGTTGAAGTGATAGGTTCTTTTAGTAAAAGATGCTGGCTGCAGAAAAGTCAGGCTAGAACTGAATTTTCCACGCCCAAAACAATACGAATTTCCTCCACATCCCAGCTCTCTTCCCACAACCAATCCGCCATCTTCCACCAATAAGAGTCTGCCAAGATGTTTTGGGGACATTGAGATGTTTACATTCTTCCTCAGGCTTTGATCGCTGGCACAAACTAGTTCTGAGCTCTCTCGCTTATCATCAAGCTATCTTTCCCCCCCACTCCCAATTTCCCAACACAGTTTGATTGCCATTTTGTCCCGCCCCACGTCGCCTTCCTCCCCACTAGCCTTTGATGGGAGGATGCATGGCATACTGGACAACTGGTGTTGACGTGACGCGGCGGTAGGGATTCAAACCGCCAAACTGCTAACCTTTCTGATCGACAAGCTCAGTGTCTTAGCCATGGAGCCACCACATCCCTTTTGCCCCGCTAAAATTAGTTTTCCCAGTAAAACAAGCCTAATAAAGATACCGGGTTAACAACTGAAGCAATACGGAAACCAGGGTTCCCTGGTTATAGGCCACCATCCTGCAACTGAGGGGGGCCGCTCTCTGCTCTCCCCCTCCCCCCCCGCCACCCAATGCTGCCATTTTCCCTGGCCAGAAAGAGGCTGGATAGTCTCTGAGGGGGCCACCCTCCTACCTTGTCTCCTTGCTCCTGAGAGATGTCCAGGTGCCTCTGGCAACAAACCAAGGCTTCGTCGAACTGACCCAGGACTTTCAGCGTGTTGCCAAGGTTGCCGCTGGCTTTGCCCTCGCCGATCCGATCCCCGATGGTTCTGTGGGCATTGGGAGAAGATACTGGGAGTTTCTCTTGGAAGGAAGCCAGGCGGAAGTGAGGAACGGCCAGGGTGGGATGCGGGCAGAGTGCTTTCAGATTGGGCATTGCATTTCCTCCTTCGACCTGCTCGGGGGCTGAGAGCAGGCATGGAATATTGGCAAATACCATCCAAGGGAGAAGAATTGCCTTTTCTCCTCCATGTTTTTATGGGGGTTGAGGGGTGTTTAAGGCATGAAATTAAGCACTTCATCTGTTTATGTGGCTTTTGTATCCCCCCCATCACAGTTTACAACCTTCCTACCATCCCCATGATCATGCGGTCAAAATTCAGGCCCTTGGCAACTGACTCATAGTTATGACAGTCGCAACGTCCCAGGGTCACATGATCCCCTCTAGCGACATCCTGACAAGCGAAGTCAACAGGGGAAGCCAGATTCATTTAACAATCGGGTTACTCAAGTGATTCGCTTAACAACCGGGGGAAGAAATAAAATGGGGCAAAACTCACTTAATGGATGTCTCACTTAGCAACAGAAATTTGGGGGCTCCATTGTGGTCATAAGTCAAGGACTACCTGTACTAGTATTTGGAGAAAACGCAGAATCTGGGAAAGCCAAAGAGGTTCCAGTGAGTTCATTCAATCAGCGTCTCCGTGATTCAGAATTCTTCCTTCTCAGCTTTCTGGCCAAGATCTGGGCCAAGTTGAAGGTGGGAAATTGTCTCCATATTCAGTTTCTATCTCTTGAGTGTCTACAACTGCTCTCGCTTCCACTTCTTTCTCGGCCCCCTTTACAAGCTGTCTTTGGCACTGGAAGCTGAGGCAGAAGCTGGTTTCTTGTTACAAGAACAGTCACCTGGCCTCTCTTTCCCCAGGAAAAAAGGATCGGAAATGGGGTGTATAATTCTTGCTTCTCTCTCCGACTCTCTTTAGACGCTGAGCTGAATAAACGTATCGGTAAAGCGGCCACGTTTCCAGACTTACAAAGAGAGGATGGCTTAATAAGAAGCTGGTGGAACATTCAGGTCTATAGAGCCTGTACACTCTTGTACTGCAGTGAGACTTGGACTCTTTACGCATGGCAGGAGAGAACATTAAACATCTTTCATATACGCCGTCTCCTATTCGTATTCTTGGCATCTCCCGGCATGACAAAGTTCCAAACAGCGCCGTCTTGGAACGTGCTGGAATTTCTAGGATGTATGCACTACCATGTTTCTCCAACAATACGACCTCCACCAATAGGAAGGCCCAGTATGATTTCTAGGCATGAGGTGAAATTAAGCCCCGCCCTCCAAAATTAAGGCCTATTTAAACCATGCGTTTCCCCGCCATTTTTCACATCATTCGTAGAAGCGGCCTCGCGGCGAGGGGAGAGTGCTTGGGCGCTCGCCCTGAGGCCGCTTCTACCGGCTGATCGAAGTGGCTGGTGACTGCCCTTGGGGAGCTTCCATCACCCGAAAGACACTGCCTGATGGTGAGGGGACGCGGGCAGCCACGCCTCGCCCTGAAGCGGCTGGTGACTCTGCCTTTTGGGGAGCTTGCATTGGCCGATAGAAACGGCCTCATGGAGACGTACGTGCGCATGGGGCACTCTAGGTGGGGGAGGAAATTAAGTCACCCCCGAAAAGACGGCCTAGCTGTTTTTTGGGGAGGGTCAAAAAAAAATAATAAGGCCCAGCCTTATTTTATGAGACACACGGTATTGAAACAGCGATGTCTACGCCGGCTTGGGCCTGTCATAAGGATGGCTGATGGGCGGATTCCGAAAGACCTCCCGTATGGAGAATTAGCGCAGGGAAAGCGCCCGAGAGAGAGACCACAGCTGCGATATAAGGATACCTGCAAGAGGGATCTAAAGGCCTTGGGAATGGACATTAACAGCTGGGAAACCTTGACCTCTGATCGTTCATCTTGGAGGCTAAAGACGCAGCCTGGCCTTCTCCAATTCGAAGAAGAGACACTCGTCCGGCAGGCTGATGCAAAGAGGCCATCCCGGAACCAGTGAAATCTGGGGGCTGGACAGGGGACAGACTGTATCTTTCCTCAGCGTGGGAGGGATTGTCCCTCTCGAATTGGCCTTTTTAGCCACACTAGATGCTGTTTCAGGCCCTCTCTTCACACACGATACTCTTGAGACGGAAGATGCCAATTCAATTCTTGATTCCTTATCTTGCGTAGCTCTGTGGGGCTTGGTTTTCACCTTGGAAACCGCAAGAGGCATTTCTCACCCTCATTTATAGCGAGTTCGTTAGGGTGGTGCGATGGCCTAGAGGGGGAATTCTCGCTTCACAATCAGGAATTCGATCCTAGGTAGAGGGAGATATTCCTCTCTCTGGGCACAATGAAAAATAACTCTGCACTGGTGACTGGAAAGGCATCCGGCCAATAAACATTCAGCTCCATTCAGTTGCCCACACTCTACCCCGCAAGCGATTATGGGGTCATTAAAAGATGAGGATGATTTATAGTGAGTTCATTAAGGTGAAGTTTCTTTGAAGGCCCTGCAATGTTTCTTCCTAGGTGTCTCTCCACTTGGGCTAAGCAGCCGTTGATAAGCTAAGCTACCAACAGCTTCATCTTCTAGACCAAAGGGTCTTCCAACTTGACAGCTTTAAAGCTTGTGGACTTCAACTCCCAGAATTCCTGAGCTGGAGAGACTGGAGCAGGAATTCTGGGAGTTGGAAGTCCACAAGTCTTCAAGCTGTCAAGTTTGAAGACCCCTGTTCTAGAATCTAGACTGTTTCTATTTCTCTTTCTTTTCCCAGCCTCCCCATGAGCTCTTCTATTGCCCCCAGATCACGTGTCTTTCTTTCCCAGTCCAACCCCATCACCCCAAAGGGAAAATTGAACATTCTGGATTTCTTTTTCGGGGAGGGCGGGGGGGGGGGGAGAAGTTTTGCCGACCTGGCAAATCTTGAGCATTGAAACCCCAGACTCGGTTCCTCCTTCCTGTCTCCAGAAGGCCCAGTTCTGGCTATAGAGCCCTTACCTCAGTGGTTGTCAACCTGGTTCCCTACCGCCCACTAGTGGGTGTTCCAGCTTTCATAGTGGGCGGTAGGGGCTTTGTCCAATACTTTATAAATCACTGTTACTGTGGAACCGGTGGGCGGTTAGAAACTCTTACTACTAACAGAGATAAAAACGTAGGCGGTAGGTATAAAAAGGTTGACTGCCCCTGCCTTACCTGGCCAGTGTGAGGTCGTGCTTATGGTACTCCAAAGCTTTGGCATAGTCCTTCAGATAGAAGTAGGCATTGCCCAGTTGGCTGTAAATGGCACTGAGCGTCTTCAGGTCCTCCGTCCCCACCTTGACTGCGTGTTCGAAGAAGGCAGCTCCAGAAGGGAAATCCCCCGCCTTGCACGCCCGCTCTCCTTCCAGGGCTAATTCCAAGCACGAGGCCTCCATCCTCCTAACAGAAACAAAAATAATCGGTCAGAGTATATTCATGAACTGGAATAGGGTTTAGTAACAAGGTCAGCCAATGAGAGCTGAGTTGAGGGCTGAAACTTAAAGAGAGAATCTGGGTGTGGTTTATCTCCGTTCTGTGCTCAGCTCTAAAGTGAAAGAGAAACTAACTTGCTTGCTTGCCTGCTGAACTAAAGTGAAACCGAGGTCTGCTTCTGAGCTCCTGAATTGCTGTTCTGCCCTGAATAGAATAGAATTCTTTATTGGCCAAGTGTGATTGGACACACAAGGAATTTGTCTTGGTGTAAACACTCTCAGTATACCTAAAGAAGGTACATTCACTAAGAATCAAGAATCATAACATACAACACTTAATGAAAGTCATAGGGTACAATCAACAATCAAATCATACTAGGAAACAGTCAATATAAATCCTAAGGATACAAGCGACAAAGTTACAGTCCTACAATCACAAGAACCCATAGCTTCTGTTTGAGTTTGCTCCATGTTGGAGAAATCTACAACTGGTATTGTGAAATTTACTTTGTGTGTTTATAAAGAAGTTAAATGAAGCCTCAGCCATCTGTGTTTACTTTTCCGGCGCTGAATTTACACTGCAATACTCTGAACACAATCTTGGTCAAAACATCATTTTCTAGAAATTCTCCGCTTGTGCCAGAAAAACTGTCTAGGTTTATGAGCAACCAGGAAGTGGAGGGATGTTGTATTCTTTAAAAAAACCAAAACGGTAATCAAGTTCAGACAAGCAAAAGAAGCATGATTGAATCTGCCCATGACTTGCCTGGGAAATCCAGGAGTGACGGCCACGGCGGATTTTGAGAGAGGGCTTAAACCTGGAGGAATAACTGTCTATCAAAGCCATCCACACATGACGGCTGTTTGCCTGTGAATTAATGATGTTCAGGAAAGTCCCACAATTCAAAATAAAAAACCCACCAAACTGAAGGAATTACTACAGCAGGCAAGGATGATTATTTGCAGACTTCTACCAGATAACACAGCAACCACAGTTGGGAGGAAGCCAAAACACACAGATAAGTTCCAACAAGAATAAAACATGCTTTGCTTCCAGCACTGGGCCATGCGCAGTTTGTCCTTATAAACAGTCCTCACAGCTGCAGCCCATGAAGGGGATCAGAGCCCCTTCCTCCCCCGTAGGCCACGCCACTCATGTTTCTCCCTTATCCGCTCCTCCCTGCATGCCCTAAGATGAAGAGGGGATGGGCCTGGGCCTTCCTCTAAATGCCCATCCAGCTTGTGCCTTTCCCCACCTTCCTCCACAGCCGCGGGAGCCACACTCCCACTCCCTGTCAGATAGGCTCAAGATCCAGATGGATCTTGATAGATTTGGACACTGGGCCCTATCTAACAAAATGAAATTCAAAGTAGAGGAAAGTAAAGTTTAACACTTAGGCAAGAAAAACCAAAAACACACATATAAAGTAGGTGAAACCAGGCTTAGTAGCAGTCACTGTGAGAGGGATCTCGGAGTCTTAGTGTGAGCACTGGACTTTTTCCCTTCAACCGAAAAGAACAGACTTCTGAAAACTAGGTATTTCAAAAGAAATCCTTTATTGAAAGGGGTTTCATCTCAACACTAGGCAAAGCAGAATCTAAGACATCCCCAGGTATACAGTCATAGATAAAGGAAATTTAAAACCCCTCCCCTCAATTCAGATGTGGATTTAGTCAAACAAAGAACCAGCAAGTTAATTCCCCCCTTCCCTTCTCTAGGAAGGTATCTTGCAGAGTTCCCAGGAATTTCTTCCATGGCTGGAATTTTTATCATCCCTTCTCATCCTGTTATCACTTCCAGAGGTGACAAGTTTCTGGACATCTGGGCTCCATTCCTCCAGATGTATATCATGTGCAAGTTACACGGAATCAATATAGGATTTAATATATTCAAGTTATATCGAAAAGGATTATTTGTACCAACTCCCCCCCCCCCTTCCATTGAAGAATGGCAGATATACGGATCTGACACCTAGTGGACAACCAATGAAATATGAGCCAGCGGTGTGCAACGGCAGCCAAAAAAGCCAATGCAATCCTCAGCGCATTAACAGAAGGATGCAATCAAAGGAGATACTAATACCACTCTGTAAAGATCCCTTCCAACTCTGCTAATCTGCTAAAGAAGAGATTGGACAACCATTTGGCTGAAGTGGTATAGGGTTTCCTGCTTCAACTAGGGAATGGACTAGAAGACCTTAAAGATCCCTTTCAGCTCTAGGACTTGGTGAATTATTCTGCTATTCCTAAACATTTAATGAACTTCTACAATATATGGTCAAAACAGTATCTACAAACACAGCACTTCAAGTGCGCAAAATTATCCCATTAAAAGCTTCTCCGTTTCTTCCTTTGGCGTCCATGAATTCAGCCTTGTCCACAAACAGAAGTCTCTACTGCTTTTCCCTAAACACTGCAGAATACAGAGATTAAATAAAGTAAGGAAAACATATGCTATTAAGCAACAGCATGCTAAAATATTTGCAAACCTTCTGATTTATTTATTTTTTAAATCTGGGTAAAATATTGATTTGCCTGAAGCAGCTTAGAGGTTGGACCACATACCAAGTAGGTGGAATCAGGACAAATAAATAAGTGGGGGCCCATTGATGAGAATGACAGCCAATTAAGACAAACTCCGATTCAGTATCAGTCACGATGAAGGCTCTTTGTGTAGTTATTGATTTTTTGTTTTTTAGTAACCACAAAATCCTGCAAGTGGATCTTTATTGACGAGCCATCAAAGCTAGTGGATGCTGGCCAGGAAATGTAACCAAGGAGGAAATTCAAACTTTTGAGAACCAGAGGAAGCTAGACTAGAATGGAGCTGGAAGGGACCTTGGAGGTCTTCTAGTCCAGCCCCCTGCTCAAGCAGGAGAACCTATATCATTTCAGATAAGTGATTGTCTAGAGCAGGGGTCTCCAACCTTGGCAACTTTAAGCCTGGAGGACTTCAACTCCCAGAATTCAATTCTGAGAGTTGAAGTCCTCCAGGCTTAAAGTAGCCAAGGTTGAAGACCCCTGGTCTAGAGTCTAGACTCTTCTTAAAAACCTCCAGTGTTGGAGCATCCACAGCTTCTGCAGCCAACTCCTGTTCCACTGGTTAATTGTCCTCACTTTGAGGTGGTTTCTCCTTAATTCCAGGTTGCTTCACTCCTGGGTTAGCTTTCAACAGTGTGTGAACTGGACAATACAGCCTTGTAGCCTGAGGCATCCCAAAGTGACCATAAATCCATTTGTGCAGCCCTCTCTCCAGGAGAAAAAATAACGATGTCAATTTGTGTGTGTGACACTTGTGCAAAGGCAGATCAAAATTAATTTTGACACCCACCTCTCCCTCAAGCTTCTTATGGTCTGATAGCTCTTGGGTAGGGTTTCCCAGCCTTGGTCATCTCCAGGTCGATGGACTTCAACTCCCAGAATTCTCAGCAGTGGTTTTGCTGGCAGTGGAATTATGGGAGTTGAATTGCCCCTGCTGAGAATTCTGGGAGGTGAAGTCCATTCACTTCAGTTTGCCATGAGTCAGAGACACAACAATCGCACCCAATTCGGGGTCCAGAAAGAAACTGAATTCTTCAACAAAGACACTGTAGGATCAGTGCACGATTCATACTCTCTGGGAGAACATTGTGAAGTTCCGCACAGTTACCCCATCTCAAAAAAATGTAGACTTTTAAGCTCTTCCTGGACATCCCACATTTCTTTAACTTCTTGGGGAACTTCAGTTCCTTCTCTAAACCTCTGTCTTGGCCTGTGCCTAGCTGGTGGCTGAGGATTATGGGAAATGATTGTTTGCAGCAGCAGCCAAAAAAGCCAATGCAGTCTTAAATTGCATTAACAGAGGGATTCAATCAAAATCCACAGGATGTACTAATACCACTCTATAAAGCCTTAGTAGGACCACACCTAGAATCCTGCAACCAGTTTTGGTCACCACACTATAAAAAAGAGGTTGAGACTCTAGAAAAAGTACAGAGAAGAGCAACCAGAATGACAAGGGGACTGGAGACTAAAACATACGAAGAACGATTGCAGGAACTGGGCCTGGCTAGTCTGGGGAAGAGAAGGACCAGGGGAGACAGGAGAACAGTCTTCCGATATTTGAAGGGCTGTCCTTGAGAGGAGGAGGGGGTCATGCTATTTTCTAAGGCACCCAAAGGCCAGACAAGGAAGAATGGATGGAAACCGATCAAGGAGAGATTCAACCTGGAAATAAGGAGGAATTTTCTGACAATGAGAACAATCCACCCATGGAACAGAAGTTGCTTCAGAAATTGTGGGAGCTTCATCCCTGGAGGCTTTCAAGAAGAGACTGGACTGCCATCAGTCAGAAATGGTGTAGGGTCTCCTGCTTGGGTGGGGGGTTGGACTAGATGACCTACAAGGTCCCTTCCAACTCTGTTAATCTGAATGTATTTGGAAGGTGAGCATGACAAGGCTGCTTGGGATTCTACCCTCAATTTAGGTGGGACGGAGATCCATAAATAGGACTCTAAAAAGAGGCAGTATTCATTATTTCCCTCAACGCCAGGTTCAGGAGAGACAGAGGAAAGCAAAGCAGCATGGATAATAACCGCATTCCCTTTTTTAAAAAAATTGGTTTTATACACACCCAGGCTCTCTGCTATGGCGAGCCATTGCCACTATTCCTTGGACATGGTCTAACTAACTAGGAATTTTTGAAACCAGCCTAAAAAAACCATCTGGGAGGCTCCACGCAGGGCAAGGAGGAGGGTGAAAGCCACCCGTTCCAACACCAGACCATCAAAACACACACGGATAAATATCTGCAAGTCTCTATCAATTTGTTGTCTGGAAATTGTGGAAAATCACAGGCACCCTCCATCCGTAAAGACGGCTCTCTCTGTCTCTCTGCCCTTATCCCAACTCTATTGCCTGAATGCCAAACTTTGAATAGATTCACACACTCCGGCAAGCCCTGTTCATTTAGCCATGATTTATTCAATG